ATATATATATATATATATATATATATATATATTGGAAGATGCTAGGGTGAACCCACTAGCTCACAGGGAAAAAAGCCCACACGCTCACGGGAAAAAATGAGCCCAACACGCCAGATTGAATCTGGGCCGATCTGACGATCACAGATGTCCGGTAGTGTTTGAATTTTAATTTTTTTTTTTCTACAAATCCAAATCACTTGAAATTTGGAGAGTGTGTACATAAAAAATAGTAAATGTTCAAAAAATATCAAAAAAATATATTTCACATGAAATAAATTGACCAAAATACACCCAAAATGTTTCGGAGGTATTTTGGTCAATTTGTTTTTGTGAATTATTTTTTATATATTTTTATTAGGTGCAACTTGCTGAGAAGAATGTATGCCTAAAACTTCAAATGATTTGGATTCCTAAAAAAAATTAAAATTCAAATACTACTAGATATCTGTGATCGTCAGATCGGCCAATATTCAATCTGGGCCGTTGGGCTCATTTTTTTCTGTAAGCTAGTGGGCTTACCCAAGATTTTTCTATATATATATGAAGATATTACAAAACGCCTTTAGGTGAAAATGAATAGTAATTTCGGCTATCCTCATCACCATCCAAACTTTATTGGACGGTCACAGTTATCCAGTAGTGTCTCATTTTTCATTTTTTCTTGCTAATCTAAATGATTTGAAATTTGGAGTATATGTATATCTCATCTTAGTGAAGCGCACCTAATAAAAATATGAAAAACACAATTTGAAAATTATAAATTGATCAAAATACCCCGTAAATTTTCGAGGTATTTTAGTCAATTTATATTTGACGAATTATTTTCTTCATATTTTTATTAGGTGCGTCTCACTAAGATGTACATATGATTCAATTTTCAAATAATTTGGATTTGTGAAAGAACAATGGAAATTGAAATAGTATCAGACAATGTGATTGTGCGACGAAGTTTGGATGGTGATGAGGGTAGGTGAAATTATTGTTCATTTTAGCCTATAGGCATTGGGAAGAGTTTTTCACACATACACACATATATATATATTATAAAACGCCTATAGACGAAAATGAACAGTGATTTCTCCTACCCTCATCACCGTTCAAAGTTCATCGCACGGTCACAATTGTCTGGTAGTGTTTTATTTTTTATTTTTTTATATAAACTGAAATGATCTGAAATTTGGAAAGTGTGTTTATAAAAAATAAGTGAATCTATGAAAAATATAAAAACAATATTTTACATGAAATAAATTGACTAAAATACCCCTGAAAATTTTCTTGGTATTTTGATCAAATTTATTTTCTCAAATTATTTTTTTATATATTTTTATTATGTGCACCTCACTAAGATGTACATACTTCCAATTTATAAAAAACTAATGAAAAATAAAATACAACTAGACAATCGTGACCGTATGATGAAATCTGAACGATGATGAGGGTAAGCGAAATCACTGTTCACATTTACCTATAGGCGTTGGGAAGACTTTTTCATATATATATATATATATATATTATTTTAAGATATCCGAGTTGGACACCGAACTCCTAAATACTCAGGCTGGCCACCCTGGTGAGCCCGAGTTGCTCAGGTGAGTTTGAGCTAGTTTGCCCAAATAATTAAACACTTGCATAAACAAGATGAGAGAGAGTTGCTGCATCAATGAGAAGGACATATGGGAAAAGGGACCCCGGTTTCTATGCACCTAAGCTTGCATATGTAGAAATGGGAGCCACTTAATAAATTTATTTTCTGGATGGATTTTAAAATTTAATTTTTAAAGACATGTAATTTTTAACATGGAGATCATGAATATGAAAAAATAAATAAAATTTTAAAACTAAAAATAATAATTCTAGTAGGAAAATATTTGGACTATTAGTTTCAATTGTTTTTAGATGGAATACCTACTCGCATCCATCTTTGAGATGGATGCTTCACACTTTTTGGACCGGGTAGAAATGCGGTTCATGAAACAAATTTCCATGAAAAAAAGGGTTTAGAATTTAGAGGTGGCTCAATAGAGAGAGGTAGAGAAAAGGGAAATAGAGATCGGTTGTAAAACAGGAAAAGTATCATGCCCACATGTGACGGTTGAGATTTCACAAGCCCATTTCTATAGGCCAAAAGCAATTTCATATTTTATTTTTTATTTTAATAAAACATTTATCTGAATTTTGGGCTGTTGATTTATATTTATAAAAATAAATAAATAAAAAAAAGATAAATGTTTTTTATTCAAAATACTTTTTTGTTATTTTTACTCATTGTACTTATTAAAATGAAGCTAAACCCAAATTCCAAATAGAAAATAAAAAAATAAAATTCAGTTTTAATAGGAACCATCAAAAGGTGGTGCTTGTGCAATAACAACTCCATATAAGTTTCCCTTCTTATAATTAAAGTTACCCAATCATTAGGCACAAATATCATTATTAACAAATGCAGCATAGAGAGAAAAACAGAGCTCATGGATTAAAACCGACCAAATGAGAGGGAACCAGATTCTAGGATCATTGTCTTCCTAGACCCTCTCTTCCCCGCAAGGGCAATACAATACATATATTAAAAGATACAATGTGAAAAGGGCAAGGGCAAAAAAAAAAAAAAAAAAAAAATTACCATGAACCAAGAACAGGTTCTTAAGAATTGATCATGTCTTGATAATCTTGATTAAGAGACACGCCTGCATAGGGTGATGCCATCTCCCACAGGGAGCTGGCATATCTCGATGCGGGGATCGACTGCAAGTGCCTTGTTGAGCTCGATCACAAAGTCTCTGTAATATCTCACATATTTCCTGAGAGGGGCATCTGGCGGGGCGACAACCGATCCATTCCATAGGGTGTTGTCATACCCTATAACACCTCCAACTTTCACTAGCTCGATCAATCGCTTGTGGTAATTCAGGTAGTTATCCTTGTCGGCATCAACAAAGATGAAGTCGAAGGAGCCATGATACTTCTCCTGATAGGCAGTCAGAAGTTGTGATCAATGTCTTGCAAATTCATGGTTAGAAATTCCTCTGTTATAGAGACAAACATGCCTGTGTCATAGGCTCTACAGTGATAAATTCAGGAGTTGAAATCCCTTGCAAACTCGTTACAATTAGTATTCGAGGATTTGCTTTTAAATTTCGTCTTCAATTAGGAAACTCAAGTTTAGGAAACTCAAACAATTTGAAGCATTTAAGTAATTTCACCCAGCCATAGAGGCCTTTAACGAAATGAAATGCTCCTAAAATTACTAAATGACCCTCTAATTAGTTGGGCATCCTATGCCTAAACAGGAACAATTTAAGAATTTTTTATTTTTTTATGATATACCTAATTAAAACAAAATTTTTAAAGGAAACTCACAGTATAAAATGTGGCCATTTAACCCCTTTAATAATTTTATAAGGGTTTCAACCCTTTAATCAATATTTTCCCTAATTTTTTATTTATTTATGTGAGCATGTCAAATGACCAGCATAAAAGTATCTACATATTTTTTTACTTCTATGGAAATTGTTTTTGAACTAAACTAGTTACGAAAAAACAAAGTAAAAAAGAACAAGAAAAAGTTTTTACAAGGTTGAAATCTTAATAATGTAGAATTACATATGCAACTCAAAAATCCATCGAAAAAAGGTTGTTTTAATGAAAAAAAAAAAAATTCACATCTCAAAAACAATGCATCTTGCAATACATTATATAGACCGTCCATTTCAAGATTTTCATATGTTTATGGATCCACTTGATTTTAACCATTTTTTAAGTTTAAAAACTTATAAGTAGATATGAAAATAGATTTTGAGATGATCCTAAGAATTTTTTATACCAAAATTAATTTGGAGGTACACCTTAATTAGATTGTTCAAGGTTGCAACCTTATAGAAACCACACCAAAAAAAAAAAACCATCCAAATCGGTAAATCTGGGCCGTCCAGCGTACCTATAGCATAGGCCTTCCGGCTCATACCTCTACATCCATTACGACAATAGGAATGTGATGGAGAGCGACGGAGACCTACCAAATAGTACTACAAGACTCCAAACGAAATGCATCCTACTTTCCCATCACCGTCCATTATTTCAATCGACCATAACGATCGCGTAATTCTATTGTTCCACCATCTTTATGATGATAAAGAACGATTGTCCTTTACTTTCTTTATTTTTATTGTTATTTGTCCATGAAAAAAAAAAAGAAAAAAAAAGAAAAGAAAATTAAAGACAAGGAGAATGGTTTTATAAGGCTGCAGCCCTAATAAAATAAGTAGAGCCTTAACTAATAAGTCATCGGAAATTGCAATTCAAGTATTGAAAAACCTATACATCGACCATTTCGGCTTGAACATTATGGTTGTGGAAAAAAAAAGGGTTTTGAGCTCTAAAAATAATATATATTATAACAAATTATCCAGACGGTCTTATTTCGCCCAAAAAATAAATTCATAGATCTGCAACAATTGTACCATTTTTTTAGTTGTATATTTTAATTTCGGTGCTAAAAATTGAATTTAGAGTCATCGTAGAGATCTATGTGGTTGAAAGTGCTTTCGAAATGAGGATTTGAGGTGAGGCTTTATTTTGTTTCAGAAATAAGAGGCCTTATAAAAACTTTATTACTGCATTCAAAGGTCCACCCATTGACCTTTCCTCATAGCATTAAAAATTAAAAATTAGGGGTAACAACTCTCAAGAATTTTTTATTTTCTCCAACAGCAAAAGAATAGAAAAGAAAAAGGATGAAGAATTTAGAGAGAGAAAGCTCACATCCTCAAGCATTTGATCAAGGACTGGCAATGCAGGTCCTTCTCTGAAGTCAATCTTGTGAGCCACTCCAGCCTTTTCTATAACTGGCAAACCCAATTCATAGTTTTCCTTGTTAATGTCCATGGCTATAATCTGCAGTTCCAAATCCAACCAAATGAAAAACAAGATATAGGGGAATCAATCGAAAACCATCACTAAAAAGCTCATATTCGTTTTTTTTTTCCGACCAAACGAGATAAAATGAAAAATTATAGATGCTCTCCTAAATTAACTTTGCAGACATTCAATTTCGCATCCTTTTAGCATCTCACTCGTGACGTTGTTACTATTTATTCTTGCTTTTGGCCCTTTAAAAAATAAATCTTTTACAAAACTAAATTTACCCTTCCTTTCTGCTCACTATGTAGGGAGAGAGTCAAGAGGAGGGCGGTAGAGAGCGAAAGAGAGAAGGTAAGGTTAGTCCGGTCTTTAAAATATATGCTTATTGACCATAGTAAAAGCAATAAAAATAGTGACCGGGCCGAGAGTGAGTGCGATACTAAAAGTATTAAAGGTATAAAGTCTCCTAAAAGTATTAATGACTAGTCCGCCCCTGCCCAGACCACTGCCGGCCCTATTAATAGAAGATGATAACTTCGGTAAAATTGATGATTTGCAGGGGGACAAAAAAAAGTGGGTTCGGCTTGGATCGATCAGATATGTAAATGGTTTCATCTTTGTTAATTTCCTCATAGAGATCTGGCAAAAATATGAATGTTGGGGAGGGTTCATTTTCCCATTTTCGGGCTTCTTCATGAAATGTAAAAATATTTGAGATATTTGCAATGGAATTTACTGGTTCAAAGCATAGGACAGGTTGTTAACCTTTCCATCGTCTGGCAGAGCAAGGGCGGTGGCGAGGAGAGAATAACCAGTGTAAACACCGATCTCCATGGTGTTCTTCGCATTGATAAGCTTGAGGAGCAGGTTAAGGAACTGTCCCTCATCAGCTGAAGTTGTCATGATGTTCCTGCGTTTTTTTCCAGTCGCAAACATTAATTCAGGAATGAATTCAATATCTCTCTCTAGATGGTTCTTTCAAACTCAGACATCCATTAGAATGTTAAAGAGAGAGGGGGGAGGAAAAGGTCCCAAATATGATATCCATTTCTCATACCATGGGTGCTTGGCTGTGATCTCACGAAGCTCCTTCATCGACTCGGGCTCTCTAGGGTAAACGCTTGTCTCTAGTATATACTGCACACCATCGAGGAAACGAGTCAGCAAAACTTCAGACGGAGAAAGAGAGATATAGAGAGAGAAAGACAGAGTTTTAGAGAGAGAGAGAGAGGGGGAGAGATACCTGATAAAGCTCATCGCTTTGGAGGAGGCTCTTGTGACCGACCTCCTGGTGACGCCCCACTTGCTGTTGTTCTTCTTGCTTGGTCGCCATTGCTTCTCTTCTTTCTCTCTGGTTTGAACAACAAGGAGAGAGAGAGACGTTTCGAACCAGAAGGATAAGATGAACGAGAAGAAGAGAGAGATCGGGGCGTATATAAAAAGATCGACGGTAGTAGGTGGTTGGAGTTGGACCCCCTCTCTCTCCTCTGTCTCTCTCTCTCTCTCTCTCTTGTGCCAACCTTTCCGTCCAGCCCGGGAGTTGGTGAGCACCCCGCCGGGAGGTCCTGCGGCCGTACTCCATTATTTTCTTTCTCTAGGTATCAAATTTAAGAAAGTTTATCAAACGGTTATTAAAATATCAAGTATTTTAGCATTTTATATATTTTTCAGACAGACAGACCAACCTAAAATAGTTTTCGGAATTAACTCAAGAACAGGTCAAATGTCGCATGATTGATATGGAAGGGTAGTTTGTGCTTTTAGGGATGGATCATGGATGTATGCGATGGTCCCTCCATAAATCAATCGCTCAAATATTTCTTTTTAAAAATATTATTTGTAGTCTTTAATTTATTTTTATTTTTTTACACATTAATGATCTCCATTTTGGGGATTGTATGTTGAAGATTATATATGCTCTAAAAAAATAGAATTAAATTATATTTAAAAAATATTCATTTGCCAAGCCCACATTTCTACAGTGTCCTTGTTTTATTGGGAGAAAAAAATAACATTAATTTTGTGCACTTTATTACTTATCACATAATTACTTATAAAAAAAGAAATGAATTTTTGTTTGCTATTGACTTTGTTTTTAAGGGAAGAAGAATGAAAAATGGCAGACCAAAACAGCGGTGAGAGAGGCCCACCTACCAACCCTGAGACACTTTCCAAAGCAACCAACTATTGTCCAATCAACACTTGACACATGCATGGATCCTATTGGTCGCCTTTACCAACGATGGGTAGACTCAGCACGCTATTGGTCACCATTTCTTTGTCTTTCAACGTTTTCTTCATTGGGTCCCTATTCATTTGGACCCTAAACGTTAGGACCTGGCAAATCGCGGATTTAAACCTGTTTTTTTTTCCAAAAATGATCCTCTTTTTGTTATATGTGTGCGTCCTTTAAAAAAGGGTGTGGTTCCATAACATTGCAATCTTAAACAATCCTATTAACGTGCACCTTCAAATTTTATCATAACATATGATTTTGATGTAAAATATTCTTAAGATTATTTTAAAATTTATTTTTATGTCTAATTGTAAAAGTTTAAATTTCAAAAATAATTGAACTGAAGTAGATCTATAAACATATGAAAATATTGAAAATTGACGGCCCAAATAATATGTCGTAAGATGCACTATTTTTAAGACTCATTTTTTATTTTTATTTTTTATAGTCATGCATCTCGATGTTGAAATGATCAATCAAAAGGTTTTTCAACATTAAAACAACTTTTCCGATGATTTTTGAAGTGCATCTATAGTTCTACATTTTAAGGTTGCAACCTCATATAAACTTTTTCTTTTTAAAAATAGCTGCAAAAAAATGTGATATTTTGAAAAAAAGATTTAGAACGAGTTAAATTTATATTTTGAAAAATATGGTGTAAATTTCTTTTCCTTTTATTGGTTGTAAAAAAGATTCTTGTTGAAAGTTATGGCCGCACCTAGGCTCTAAGTAATCAAATTAGAGCCAACTTTCAAATAGTATCAAGAAATGTGGTTTCAATACTGAAAATCTTTGTGATAGCTTTAAAATATATTTTCATTTTTATTTATGAAGTTTAAAACTTCAAAAATAGTGTAGATTGAAAACTTGAAAATCTTGAAAATTGACCGTCCAAAAATGCGTTACAAAATACACTACTTCTAAAAGTTGAAATCCATTTTTTTTATCGTATCCATGCATCTTGATGTCGAGATGATCAATTTGAGGATATTTGAGTATCAAAACAACCTCTTCTAGTGAAATTTTTTATGTAGGCTCTAATTTGATTGTTTAGAGGCTCGGCTTTAAATAACTTTTCCTGAAAGTTATATATGTTTTTTTTTTTTTCTTTTTTTAATTTCTATTTTTATCTAACCTAAAAAATCGTGTTATATTCATGTTTTCAATATACAGTTTGAAAAAACTTTCCTTTTATTTCTTGCAAAAAAATTTCTCTTCTAAAATTAGGGAAATTACATAAATAATTGTTATACTTTCCGTTATTACTCGCATGTCCGTTTTTTTCACTTCATAACAATTTTTTTAAAAAGACCATTTTACCCTTTTCGGTTGTTGAACCACCGAAATTTTTGGAATTTCCGTTTTTCAAAAACCGAAATTCTTTTAATTTCGGATTTTGAAAAATTGAAAATTAAAAGTTTTTGTTTTTTCAAAATCGAAAATTTTTGCGTGACAAAACCCAATTTAAGGTATCCTACAAGCGCATGGGAGCATTTTTATTGTTATTTTATAGTTTCAAAATTTTTTTGTCCCCAAATATAGTATCCTGCAAACTTTTTTGTCCTCCAATACAGTGTTCCACAAACTTCATGATGTTTGCTCCCAACCTCATCGTGATTGGTACCTTTCTTTCTCTTGTCTTATACTATTGATTAATTTTGTCAAAATTAATACAATATTTTATTTTTGTATTAATATTAGTGTATTGTTGAAGTTGATTTTTTTTTGGGTAAATATTGTTGAAGTTTTTTATTTGTATTAATATTTGTTATTTCTTTTGCGTTTGTATTAATATTTGTTGTTTTGGGTAGTTTATTGAACAATCGATTTATTTAGTTGTACATTATAGTAGTATACTATATTGTATTTGTTGTTTTGGTTAGATATTCTTGAACTTATTTGTTTGTATTAATATTTGTTGTTTATTGAATAATTGATTTTTTTAGTAGTACATTATTTTGATCCATTATGTAACACTCTAATTTTATGAACCCTAAATTAGTTAGATATATCCTAATTTTTGTATTCATTATTGTATTGATTTTCTGTAACACAAATTTTGATATTCATTTAATACAGTAGTATTGACAATGGGTACCACTGGAGTGCAACTGCTATTTCGATATAGGGGGTCATTTGAAACGAATCCATATAACAGACATGTTATTTATAGAGGGGGAAAATTGAAGGTTACGAAGTATAATGGAAATATCTCAATGGAGGAACTAAAAAGTCATTTTGGAAATTTAACATCGTGTGATCCAAGCAAGTTGACTATTATGTACCATAACACAAGTCTATTTAATGCCCTTCAATTGATTAACGTAAGTGATAATATAGAAGTATCTTTTATATTGGGAGGGGAGTCTTCGAGTATTCTTATATATATTGCATTTGCAATACAGTCGGAGTGGAGATCGATGGAATTCCGAACGATATAACATGTTGGTGATGGCCCATCTGCAAAGAATAAATACATCTATAATTTACATTTTTTGAAATTTGAACATGGGTTTTCGGTTGTTCAAAAACCACATTTTCGGTTGTTGAAAAATTGAAAAATCAATATTTTCGGTTGTTGAAAAACCGAAAAATCAGTATTTTTGATTGTTGAACAATCGAAAACCCATTTGAAATTCCAGTAACTTTTTGTAATTTGAACATAGGTTTTCAGTTGTTCAACAACCGAAAATACTGAGTTTTCTATTTTTCAACAACCGAAAACATTGAGTTTTTTATTTTTCAACAACCGAAAACGTTGAGATATCAGTTTTTCAACAACCGAAAACTCTCAGATTTCAGTTTTTCAATAACGAGACCACTGAGTTTCAAGTTTTTCAATAACCAAAAACTAGTTCAAACTCCAAAAGGTTTTTGGAATTTGAACATAGGTTTTTTGGAATTTAAACTAGGTTTTCGGTTGTTTAGCAACCGAAAACTCTCAGATTTCGGTTTTTCAACAACAAAAAACACTGATTTTTAGGTTTCTTAAAAACCAAAAACCCAATTCAACTTTCGGAAACCGTTTGGAATTTCAATATAGATTTCCGGTTGTTCAGCAATGGAAAACTCTCATTTTTACTTTTCAACAATCGAAAACTCATGTTCAAATTCCAGAAACTTTCTGGATTTTGATCAAGTGTTTTCGGTTGTTGATTAACCAAATATTGTTGGTTTTTGGTTGTTGACAAACCAAAAATTTATTTTTTTTGGTTTTTTAACAACTCGCCATTGAGTATGCATCATGACATCTGATGCGAGTATACATCATGACACACATACACACATATATGTATGTATGTATGCATGTATGTATGTTTGTTTGTTTTGTTTGAAAGCGCAATAAGGTGTTATTTTGGTACACAACCTTTTCTGCTGCCTCTATAAAGTCATGTAATTTAGTGCCAAGGCAACAAAGGTCTCTTTCCATCAGTTACAGAAATCCACCTGAACAATAAGCTCGCATATGATAGTATCACGACATATAAAATTGTTTACTCTAGTGTAGAGTGGAAGATAAACATGTAGTACTTTCTTTCATGCCATCAAGGCACTAGATTGGTCTTAATAACATCACTTGCATGAGACAAGCAACTCAACCCCTTTTAAAATCCTTGTTTGAGTCTCATAATGTGTAATGCTTGTCCATTGATCTAGTTAATGTTGGATTGGTTGTATCATAATTCGAAGTGATCACAAGTCTTATACCCAATGCTCTGAGTATGCATCATGACACCCGATACTCTGAGTATGCATCATGCCATCGGATGCCATAGGATGTAGAAATGCACCATGTAATACATAGGATGTAAAAATGAGCCATGTAATACTACTCTAAGCTTATTTTTTAAATTTGCTAGCAAATAGAGGCAGCAAGCAGTGACGTAAGGTTGACATGAACATTTTTTTATAGACTACCATAATAAATATTGAATATCAATCACATCCTATATCACTAAATATGTAGTACAGATCACCCAAAATATTGAAAATTAATGCATGTACTCAAAATTAAAACACTCAAATATTGTCAAAATACCATCCTATTAACTGCTTGGGAGTTCATTACAATAGCATTACAAATGCTCGAAATTACAAAACAATACAAACACTCAATACACTCAAAATTAGGAGTCATCGCCTTCTCTTGGGTTGATACTACCTTTTTCGGGTATTATACCTTCTGGGCTTCTCAACCATAGGTTGTGTGGACGGGGGTCATGTCTTCTGTAGCACGACTACTTTCACCCACCACACCACTTCTCGGCTCGTCATGTGCCCCTTCTTCATTAATTTGACGTTGTAAATGTTTCATCTTG